AGCTTATTATGTGAATAAAAACAAGATGGAAGGACAACACATACCATCTTCAAATCCAGAAGAAAATATATCTCATACATGCATACATGCATACATGCATACATGCATACATGCATGCATGCATACATGCATGCATGCATGCATGCATGCATGCATGCATGCATGCATGCATACATACATACATACATACATACATACATACATACATACATACATACATACATACATACATAATGTGTATTAGTTTACCCACAAAATCCTCCTCTGCTGCCTCATGATGTAGAACTGAATCTAAATTCTCACATGTAATGTCAGGAAAGCACAAGCTCTGACATGCTGTACTAAGCTGGGAAGCCTCCAAGTAAGATGCCAGTGGTAGACTGCATGCCAGCTATCTATGGCCAACCTAGCTAGGAACGGAGGGACTTGTCACCAGACAGTTGGCCATCAGGTGACAAACTGGGTAGAGCTACTAAGAGTAAAATGAAGTTTCTCTTGCATGTAAAACAGCTCGCTACACATAATACAGTGCCTTGGTGGAGGATGTAATGCTTCCATGAATGTGTACTTACAGACAATGCAGCTGTATGAATATAGCTCCTTTCCCTTTCCATTCTCTCTAAAGCCAAGAAGAAGGCAGGATCTGCTCCTCACTCTGTCTCCTACCTTTCCTGCACAGTAAAGCCTCAGTGATGATGGCTGGATGCTTTGCAGGGTTTTCGCTAACTGGTAGTTCATTCTGTCATCTGTGTTTTTATGGTGGGACAGATGGAAAGGGGAGATGGAAGGAAATGCTGCTCTCCTTTCCACTCTTAGTTGGGGTTGCCAACCATCTTCTAGAAGTTAGCAAGGTAAGGCATTCATACTCACTTCTCAAAAATAGCCTGATATTGGCATTGTACGTGGGCTAACCACATACAAGCCTTCTCTCCTTTATGCATGCATGCGGTATCCTAATCTTGGGGCAGGCATGAGGCTCACATCATCTTGAGTTTAACGCTACTCTAGCTTCAAGCCATTTTGGAAAAGGCACATTCATTTCCTTTTGGAACAAGCTTTTTTTAAAATGGTTTCTCCGATGATAGAATATTCTAGGTGGAGACTTTCCCTGACCCCCATCAGAATTAAATTTCTTGTCAGTATCAACAATGATACTTGGGGTCCCTTCCACAATGTCTTCTTAAGCCACTGGTGAGCAAAATTAATCATACCACTGGGATACTAAATGAGGCTTTTTATTTCTTTGTAACTAAATGCAACGTGATTGATGATGAATCTTCCTCCTCAGAAACATACACTTAATATTAATGAGAAGAAAGTGCAAGCATATTTTTCTTCTATACACAACCTGCTTCTATATTTATATTCAAAACACTACTCACCAAAACTTGCATTTTTTCAGTAAAAATAAATTTCACATCACCACTTATGTCTTTGCAATTTTTCTGAAAATCCCTATTAAATATAATTGCATACTGAATATTTTATGCAGGGTACAACCTCAGTCTTCTGCATAGTCTGAGAGACATTCACAGCTGTCCAGTTATCAGTGGCTTACCAACACAAGTGTGCTATTTACAAATATTATAGTATAATGGATCTATCTAGAATACACAGTTCATGCAAATAATGTCTTCTGATTAAAATGGAGTGGTGGGAGGATAGTAGTAGACACATGGAAAAAGAGGGAGATAGACACTAGACAACAACAACACACACAACAAGTGTTACTGTAAATGGGAAAACTCAATTACGCACACAAAGTAATTCAAAACCCAGAAAGAGCTAAGGAGCCTACTAGTGGATAGGGATTCTACTAGACAGCACTCAAACCATGTAAGACTCATGTCTGGAGCAAAGGAGTACCTTGGAAAATTTCTGGAATGAGGAACATCCTATGCTTGGTCTACAAGCTGCCCCAGATCAACCCTCAAAGAGACTCTCCTTTCTGTTGTTTTCAGTACTGAAAGTTGCCAGTCTAAATGAGGAGCTCAGCCATGCAGAGCTTTTATCACAGATATGCAGAAATAAAGTGGCCCCACTCTACAGCTACAAGGAAGTGATTCTCAACTTCCAATCTAATGCCAGAATTTTAGAGCTCTGTGCCACTGAAGACTTTACCAAAATCTCCCCCGAACCATTTACAGTGGGGTCTCGACTTACGAACGGCTCGACATACGAACGTTTCGACTTACGAACCGCTCTCATAGGAATATATGGACTTGACTTACGAACTTAGATTCGAGTTACAAACTCTTTTTTTCCTTTTGTATGTTGAATGCCTCTGGACAGGAAAGGCATAGTGTGTAGCTTGTAGGCTCCATGTGGCTTGCTAAGAGTTTTGCCCAGAAACACCCGGCTTCCTATTTTCCCAGAGTTGCCAATCTCTGGACGAGCTGCTCCTGTGTTTCCCATTCCTTTTAAAGAAATTGTAACAATGGAGCAACGTCCTTAGTAAGGACAAGCTTTTTTGGGGCGGGGGCTGTTTTATGCCTCGTGCACTTCTCTGTTTAATCATGTACAGAGATTTACATTGTGCTTGATAGCAACTTGGACACAAAAAACGCTCTGAGGGAGAAGGCCCCTCCCTGAGCTGGGGAAGAGCCACCTTCCCACCAAACATCTTCAAAGACTGACTGCTACGGAGACTTCTAATTTGCATGAGATGGGGCACACAGCAAAATTTCCTGCTGTTAGAGGCAGGAAGATACATACTGGCCCCCTATCCCATCATTGCCACATGGTTCAAGTCTCTCTTCCACCATCCTGTTGTCCAAACACTTAATTTATCTCAAATGCTTGATTGTAAAGGGTCCTCAGAGCAAAGACACTGCTGGTAAAGTAGCTAAGGAGACTTCCCCATTGCTGCAGCAGGGGCAGTCTTCATGACCACCCTACACTGTCTTACATTCAGGACCCCTTAAAACAAGGCAGTAAGGACCTAGCGGATGCTAGAGAACTGCACATGGGCCACTTCTTTGCTCTGGCATAGTTGCAGCAAGTGAATAGTGTTCTACTCTGACAATTTTTTTGCAAGACAGCGCTTCTCGCAGAACGAATTACATTCATCTTGCGAGGCACCACTGTACTGTGTTTTCTTTAAAAGTGGGAACTTGTACATTGCTGTCCACAGTTACTTGGCCAGAATTGTCATTCATCTGGTACGATGCCTCAAATAGAACTCTTAACACATGCATCAGTGAATGCCTACATTAATTGGATGGCTCTACCTCCTCTATGCCATGCTGGGAATGCCATTCATTGTTCATGAAATGCAACTAGAACTTAGTATTCTGCATTCCTAAGGCAAAACTATACAGATAGCAATTTATAAATACACTTAGAAAATGTTATTGAACTACTGCTGTAAAATAGAAGCTAGGTTAAATAACAACACTTTTGAATATCCACAGCATTACAAGTCCTCTTTGGCTACATATTTATATAACAGAAAGAAAACTGGCAGAAGGTATTTCTAGCCTGAACCTTTTGGAATGTTAAGAGATGTTAACCACATCTTAGAATCCCAAAGCTCTAGCCTGGGCATAGGCAGTGCTAAGCATCAGGCTGGACAAATATGTTGAAAGAAACAAAGAAGAATCTATATCCACAGCATTACAAGTCCTCTTTGGCTACATATTTATATAACAGAAAGAAAACTGGCAGAAGGTATTTCTAGCCTGAACCTTTTGGAATGTTAAGAGATGTTAACCACATCTTAGAATCCCAAAGCTCTAGCCTGGGCATAGGCAGTGCTAAGCATCAGGCTGGACAAATATGTTGAAAGAAACAAAGAAGAATCTGATATTTTATTTTATTTTATTTTATTTT